GGCACCCCTGTCTGCTCTAATTAACTCACGCATTTCACTCCTCTCCTCCCAAGGCACATTTCCCACATTCAGACTCCTGGAAGAACTAGCAAAAGCAGGACAGCCTGTACTTATGGAAGCTTAGAGCTGTGGGAGAATACTCATAGATGTTGAAACAAGGCAGCAGTTCTTCACTCTCCCCACAGCAGAAAACCAGTTACTGCTGCCTGATGCCCATGGTGCTTCAAACCCCGACACTGTAAAAGGCTGAGCTACAAGCATCCAGTGATGGAGTAAAAGGCAGTTTGTGACATACTGGATACTGAAGGCTGCTGAGCAGGGATTGAAGTTGCTGCATTTCCGTTACTTCGATATTGCAGAGTTCCTGCATCTCCTGGGCTTCAGCTGCAAGGCAAATGCATAGAGCCAGAGCACTAGCATGCAGTACAAAATACCACAGTGGTCTTAAAGGAAGGGATGGAATAAACATGACGTATAAAATCAGTAACTCACAGCTAACAAGCCCTGCATGAGCCAGTCCAAGAAACTACAAAGCCAGAGTATGCATTTTCATGTTACTGCTAAACATTAAAATAGAAATTAATATACCTGACAACAGTGAATTCCAAGAGAGGATCCAACAATGACAAGAAAAGTGCAGGCAGGCTTTATCAAAGATGCAGGGAAGTTGACAAGCATAATAAAGTCACCTCAGCTAGAGCTGAGCCTTGCTTATTCTGTACCAGGGTTTTAGCCAATATGAAACAATGTTATTGAGTGCCAATTTCCACAGTTTGACAGTATGAACTTCGCTTTTTCAGGCACTTATTCAGGCATTTGATTCCCCTCCTCAACCCCAAAAGATGAATAGTGAAGTATGACCTGTTTTTTTCTTACTATTCCAATAGGTTTTTGTTCCTTTCCTGGATTCTTGGCTTAGGAAAGTTTAGTCAGGGCAAGAGCCTTAATGGGTGAATAGCACCTTCTTTTTTATATGTACATATTCATTCCTTCTCAGCCTCCCCTCCCCAAGGCTTCTGAACACGAAGTACTTGCAGGAACCATTTACTCCATTGCCGTTACACAGCCCCTGAGCCAACAGGTACACAGCACAGCTGGAGCATCTCATTCCATCAGTTAAATTAAAGAACTGAACCCAGCTCATGCCTAGGCCCAGCACACTCTCTTTTAGAAACAATACCCAGGGACTTCTGTAAAGCTCTGAAGGGGAAGATGATTTGCTTTACCCTTGCTGCAGTGTCTGAGTCATTACTGAGTTGGAAGCAACTGTAAAAAAAAAAAAAAAGGCCTTTTTTGGTGAGACTAGAAAGTTGGCAGCCACGCAGGCACAGCATTGGATGTCTCACTGCCAGGCTTGTGACAGAGCTGACCTGCCTGGATGCCTGCAGGGCGGTGGGAGCAGTGCCTGTGAGGAGCTCAGCTCTGCAGGGACTGAAGCAGAGAAGCTTCAGAGAGGTTCAGAGGTGACGCCAATGCTGATGCCCCATATAAAAAGCAAACATTTCCTGCCTAATAGTGTCTCTGGAGCATCACTCACCCACCTACAGCAATGTTCCACTGTCATTGAGGTAACCAAGACACTCGCCAGGGACACATTTTATCTGGTTTCTCTGCCCTTTCAGTTCTGCATCCTTTCATCTTTGGCCAACGCAAAAGGTCTCAGCTACCTTACTACTACTGCCACTTATCTGTATGTCAATTATAATAAAGATTAAAGTGGAATCCTGCAAGATTTGTCCTTGCGACTTTTCACTGGGCTAGCATTGGTCTATTTAAACTACCTTTCCCATTAAAGAGATGATCTAGTGCTTGCACCAGAGATGTTGGTACAGATACAGAACTATGACTGATGCTTTTTTTGCCTCCTGGAAGCAAGGCTTTTTTTCAGAGAAGCATTAACCTGAGAGCAATCACATATACTTCTTTTATCTTGGGTTCAAGCTCCTCAGAAAAAGAAACAAGAATGACCTGAAAAGTAGGGGGAAACATTCTTTCCACTCCGGCCCTCCCCCAAATCTTTTTGTGGGAAACACAACTGAGTTTTGAATGCTAAAATTCACACAGATTTAAAAATACTTATCTTCAAGTAATGCTACCATGGAAACTCTTATATTCTCTCCTTTCCTACCTTCCATATGTGAGGAACATTTTTTTTCTGCATGTGGTACTTCCTTTTCCCAGGCTGCTACCATCAAAATCCTGGCATTGAATCATAAGAGATGTCAAAAAGGCTTTTTGTTTAGTTGAAAAGTCACTGCTAAAAAACAGTCCCGAACGCAACTAGAGAGGGATGCCAAGATGGGTACATACTGTCAGGCTCCAGAGAAAGATGCCTGGAATATTTTCCAGCAATTCCTGCTTCAGACAAGTGAAGCAGAAAGAGCTGCCACAGTAATTAAAACAATTCCACTGCCCATGGTGATGAAAATTTTCCTTCTCATTAGAAACCTTTTTCCCTCTTCCCTATCACTCTTGATAAAAGGAGTAGGGAAGTGGGTAAAGTCCTGTATGCTCAAAGTGCTTTCATGAAAGTACTGCTCTACCCTATTTATTTTGCCCCAAAGTTACAAGAGGATCTGGGAACAGAAAGGAATTCAATAAACTGTAGACTTCACACTGCTGATCAGAATTTGTCTATATCCAAGGATCCATGTCTGGGCACCCCTTCTGTAGCATTAACAGAAGCTTTGGGAAGGTCATACATGGCCCTACTGAGGGGTGAGACTCTACAGATACCTCCTGCTGTCAGTGAGAATGTGTGTACAGTGAGACACAGAGTAATAAGTCAATGCTACTTACATTTGAATTAACAGAACCAAAATGTTCATGACCAAACTATGCAGATAAAACAGATAATATTGTTTTCCCAGTTCGAAACCAGCAGTCCCTGGTTCATATAACCAGGCAACTAATGGGGGAGCTGGCATGAGAGCTGTCCAAGGTATTTTAAATCAACAAATGTCCCCTCTGCCCAACAATCAACATTTACTTTAGCAACAAGCAGGAAAGAAGTTGCCAAGACCATCCTTTCCATTTAATTATGGAAAATAAAACACACAGCCCACAGCTCTGTGCTGCATACCACAGCCATTACCAGCAAGTCCTTAACCTGCTGGGAACAGGAGAAGGATATTACTAATTTGCAATAATGGCTTTACATGCAGCCCAAGTTACTTAAAATCTAGAGGTAACACCATTCATGGATATTTTGGAGGCAGTGGGAGGCCAGCTCAATAAAGCTGTCTGCTCTGCTCAAAGTTATGTTAACAACTGTCTCACCAGTTGCCACCAGTACAAGAGGCAAAAATACAAGGCTTTGTCAGCCAGAAACAGCCATGACAATCAATTAGTGATGGCCTGATTGCTCCTGGCACCTGTGCTGGCTGCCTCCTTCTGAGAGCAGCAGATTGCATAGGCACAGAGAAATATTTAGCCTCCTACCTTCCATGAGTTTGGAGCCCTCTATAGAAGCTTGTTCTACAGTAAGAGTCCAAGGAGTTAAATTACACCTTTTCTATATGCATTTCAAAACAATCCTGTGGAATTGGTGAAGTAGCTTTCTGGTGCAGAGCAGGAATATCAAGCATAAAAAGCAATAATTCCCTATATTATAGAAAAAACCTCCCTCTCTTGGCTTTGTTCCTAGACTAAGGACTCCTGAGGTTGGCTAACTGCTACAGTTCAGATGCTGACCCAGGCTCTTCCACAGGCTGGCATCTAACAATGCTTTGGCTGCAATCTTGTGACACATCTAGCATAGACCCTCTCCATGTCCAGTCATTTTAATATTTCCCCCCCATACACAAAATTTATAGGAGCATAGCAATGTTGACATTTCAAACCCCAATCTCTATCAAAAAGAGCTGATTTGGTGCTGCAAAGGCAGGTCGGGCATACACAGCTGCAGACTGAGGAACACCTCACCTACCACCTCATACCTTTTGGGTGGGAAGGGGGCTAGGAACTGGAGATAACAGAGAAGTCAGGTTTGTGGGGAAAAGATCAGGTAAAAAGTGGGAGGGGGAGGGCAGGGGGTGAGAAAAAAGGGAGAAGCACAACCTAAAAAGGAATTCAGATGGCAATTACTCCAATGAGACAATGGGGTAAAAGGTTTCTGCCTTGCAAGCTGCCCAGTGAGGCTCTGAAAAATCTTCCTATGATGGCCAGAAGAGAAAGAAGCAGAGAAAAGTTTGTGAACATGGGGTACGTGATGCTGCTTTGGCTGGCACCCATTCTGGAGGAGGAAAAGGATTATTTGAAAGACTTTTAAGTTATTAAGTACAACATTAATCCAGAGTCCTATAAAATAAGCACTCTCCCTTTCCCGTATTTGCATGACCAGTCTCACGCTGACCCAGTGGTGAATGAATTGCAAGCATCTGTCATCAATTTCTGAGGCTGATTAAATTAGACACTGTCCTCAGAACTGTCAGGATAGAAAATCCCTTTCTCAGGGCTTCATTCTGTGGTTTTATTTAATTTCATTATATTATTACTGATGCTTCTGTTTTCTCAGACACCAAACCAGTGTTATTCCCCTTGGTTTACTAGTATTTCTCAGCCATCCTTTCTCTTGCAACCCCCCAGAGCATGGCAAGATTACCCAGCAACCCCCACTGTGGTGGTGCAATTCCCACCTCACTTGACTTCTCTCTCTCACACACACTCACACATACTTCCCACAGGATGTATGTGCTCTTCTTGACTGTTATAGCTGTAGCTCAGGGGAAGGAAAGACACTTTGAATAAAAATACCTATATATAGAGAAAGGCTTTGTCCTTGTGTCTCCGGGGTAGGCTCCATGAAGAAGCATTCCATTGCATAAGAGAGGCACTCTTATCCAGCTCTAGCTGCTGTTGGAAAGGGGCTGGATTATCTGGAGGTCTGATTTTTTACTAGCTGGCACCCAACAGTTCATACATACATCACTTTTGTGGTTTTGTCACTTCCTTTGCAATGGTTTGGCCAGAGATCTGAAAGCAAACGTAAAAAAGGCATACAGATTAAATCTACTTTAATATGACTACTAGTTGAATTAGGAAAAGTACCCAATAGAGGTATGTGGTTAAAAACATAGAAGGTAACAAAATCTGGATGTACAACTCCTTGGCTGAGTCAGTGTGGCACCAGTATGATTTCCTAAAACGTCTGCTCAGAACTTCACTGTTGGCACCTTTAGCCCTCTGTTTTGCTTGCCCTTAGCTTCTCTTAGACACTGTTATCCAGGCTTCCTCCTTTGGTGAGGTTACCAGCTCATACTTGGTCTCCATGACTTGTCCTTTGACTGGGTGGAGATACAGTTTCCTTACCAGGACACTCAGCAGGACTGTAGCCACCATATAGGCAAACCTGAGGGAAGACACAGGAGAAGAGAATAAAAACCTTGCTATGATGTAAATTTGCCAAAGGACAACTGCCAGCTTGGACAGGTTGTCTCAGCAGTAACAGGAAGAAACAGACTGAAAGCACCTTCTCTCCTGTTTGCCACAGAGACATGCAAAGACAGCCTCCCTTGTGCTCACCTCAGCTCTGGGCACTCCTGGCTTCCTGAAAAACCCAACAAGGAGAGGTTTTTCATGGCCGATTCCTCATTGAATCTCTCTGGGTCAAACCTGTGAAAGACAAAATACACTAAGGCTTTCTGTAAGGGTACAGGATCATTTCCCCAGATACATGTGCACACACACACAGAGAAGTAAGAAACTGGCAACAAAAACACATAATCTCGCTGATTTGTTCTCTCATGCTGGGTAATTCCACACAGATATATGAAGGCAATTGTGCATCCACTCAGTCTATGTCCCCAGCTGGTCAGCTGTGTCCCAGCTTGGCCAAAATGCTGATAAACTGAGTTAATGTGACACTGGGCTAGAACTAATAAGCGTCTCAGCAGTGGGTATGTAACTTGAGTACACAGCTGAACTGATGCTACTACATACCCTCTATTCCCTTCCAAGGCACACAATCTGATTTGTTTCCCTCTCTCTCTCTCCCCCATGTGTCCCTTCCACTCTCACTTCCAAATATATTTCTTTTTTTTCTTGCCCATCACCCTTCTCTTCAAACAGCTGGTATGTGTGTGTATGTGCTGGTGAAGCTGGTGACTCATTTAAGTGAGAAAAGTGGTTTCCAGCATTAGGATGGTGGAGGCTGTGAGAAAACTATTATCCAGGGACGGAATGAGTTAAAACAAGATTCCCATAATTAACTAACCATATGGAGACTAATAAAATATAACTCAATTTAAATGTAGAAGAAAAACAAAAAAAGCCACCCCAGGAAACTAGATGAAGCAGTTCTCTTTCACTTTCTGCTAAATCATACTGCTTATACTTCAAGCCTTTAGCTCCCTGCCAAAGCATCCACAGTCTGCTTCTACCAATATGAAAAGGCTTGTGGGTGCTGACCCTCAGTAAAAACAGCATCAAACTTACATTCCCCCTGAAGTGGCAAATTACAGATAATATAATAGGAAATAAAATGCAACAGCCTAGCAAAAGAACAGAGAGAGCAAACAGCCACGCACATTGTTTTTGTACAGTAGGTAGGGGAAAGGATCACAAAGAGCTCATCTTCTATCTCCGTCACAGAAATGCACATCTACCTCAGGCTCAACCTCCTTCTCCTTGGAATAAAAACACTGTGTTCATAGCAGTCCTCACTGTACCTCCCACCAGGCCTCAGCAAACCCATCCTAAACACAGTGCACATCCTATCCTAGTGGACAATCCCTGCCAAGAGGCTCATAGACCAGTGTATTCCTGACTCTTTTGTAAGAGCTACGCTCTCAGGAGAGTACAAGTGTTCTTCTAAAAGCTCTATTCCTTCCCCTAAGTCTCAGCTGTCTGTTCCCTCTGTTTAGAATAACTGACCCACATTTTTTTCCCAGCTCAAGTGAAGTCAGTCAGATACATGTTACTCTTTGTCACCTGGAGGACACAGGAAACTACAGCAATTTTTTTCTTTAACCTCCAAAACACTGGCCTGAATCTACTTTTGTTTTCACAGATACAAGTAATAAGGCAGCATTTCTTTTCCCCCTGAAAAAATAAAACTTAAAACTGACATTTCCTCTCCTTATATCATTGTTTCATTAGGACAAGCAGTGATTCCAAAGACATTCAAATCACTTTCTTTCTCTCAAATAAAACCTTACAAAGAATTTACCAGCATTTGCCCGGGAAGCTGTGCATGTGCATAAAAAAATTTGTTACTAAACTCTAACACATACACACAGATTGGAGCATGGGAGGACCATGACTTTAATTGCTCCAAAATCCCACTTATAGAGACAAACAAACCAAGATCTTAATAAACTAATTTTCTTACAGACTCCCTTTTAGCTCCAAAATCTGCTTAAGGTATGCCCTGCAGCCAAACATACAAAGAATATTACTTAAAAAAAGGAAACAAATTAGTTGCAATAAAAGCCTTGATTCTACATACCTGTATGGTGATGGCCACGACGAACTGTCCTGCAGCATCACACCAAGAGCATAAAGAACAAGTGTCTGCGAAGAAAATTAGCAAATGTATGTCAGAATAGAAAGAAAGGCACTCTTAAAGACACTCCTGGACACCACTACTGAATGACAATTATTCTGTAGACTACTTATATTTATTAGGTGGGTTAAAAAGATAATATGCTATATTCATCTACAGATTTTCATAATCCATGCCCAGATGTTAGGATTTTAACTTCCAAGGCACGTGGCTGCAGCTGTTGGTGGTTACAGAGGGTCTGATGCAGTTCCTCTACTCTTCCTGGCATGCATGGACTACTTTATTTAGACTACTTTATTCTCCACAGTGGAAGGTACCACTCTGTGTGGGAAACACATATGATATGAAAAAAGCCAGGCTTTTTTCAGTGGTGTCCAGTGATAGGACAAGGGGCAATGGGTGCAAACTGGAGCATAGGAGGTTCCATGTAAATATCAGAAAAAACTTCTTTACTGTGAGAGTGACAGAGCACTAGAACAGGCTGCCTAGAGAGGTTGTACAGTCTCCTTTGCTGGAGACATTCAAAACCCGCTTGGACAAGTTCCTGTGTGATGTGCTCTAGGTGACCCTGCCTGGCAGAGGGGTTGGACTAGAGGATCTTTTGAGGTCCCTTCCAACCCGTAAGGTTCTGTGATTCTGTGATCAGACCTGAAATCATGCCCTTTTATGCACAACTGAGCCCATAAGCCCTTTCAAAAGATGATTCATCCCTGGTAGACCCAGAACTGGAAGAAAATCTGCTCTGGAAGACAACATGAACTCTCCCACAGAGGAACTGCAGGTCAAACTTTGAGCTACATTGTAATTTCAGATGACAGAGCAGCTGTTTAGGTTCAACAGTGACAGAAGAAATGGTCTTCCTGCCTCACCCCTCTGTGTGAAGAGGAAACAGCAAATTCCCCTCGGGGAAAGGAGAGTGGCCTAGCACTCCCAGTACTGCCCCTACCTCTTTGGGGATAGTATGTTGGTTGACTCTGCCCTCCAGCTCCTGCAGCTTGGCAGCAATGGGAGTAAGCTTTGCTGTTCGAACTACCTCACACAGGACTTGCCGACAGTATCTGCAACCAGTAAGACTTGGTTAGTTTAACCCTTCCAGAGAGAAGCTTGTTCACATCCTTGTGGCAGCAAGAAGAACTGAGTCACCCACTGCATTTAGGGTCACAGTCTGCCTCTGGAGCTGTCTCAAGCCATACCGAGGCACTTCACTTCTTTTCTGGCAAGAAGTCCCAGCATCTTTGCAAGACGCATTAAATCTCATTATCGTATTTTAGGGAATGTTATTGAGATCTCTCTTCACCACACTTCTTTCAGAAGTAACTCTACTAAAAAGCATAAACACATCAGCTATTTTCCTGGACCTCTCACCCATACAAGAAGCAGCAGGAAACCCACACACTCAATACTCCCTTACTGAAATTCTAACACTATTCCAAATACTAAACACACCCAGTTGCACCAAGAGATGCACAAAAAATAAAGGCACACTGTTGACTAGTCATCATTCTAGCTTTGTGGCCCTTTGAAAAGAATATTCTTCCATGTGTTCTCTCTAAGGATGTCTAACATGAATCCAACCATTAAAATGACTGATTACCTCTACTTTTGGAAAACTAGGACAGAAACCAAACAAGACAGCAAGCAAACAAATTTTGGCCTGGCAGCCAGGGCACTGATTCTGTGCTCTCCTCTGCTAATGAGCCTAAAGGATTTTCTGTAGACACTCTGAAGAAAGCAGCTCAATCCTTGTATGTCTGGAGCCCTATAGCAGGTTCTCTCTGTGCTGCAAGTCATCCTGTGATTTAAACACTTTGAGAAAAAAAGGAGTAGCTTTTGGATGGCTTCTCCTGGGCCAGCATAGGCTGGTTATCAGGCTCCAGCACATGAAGCCTCTGTTTCCACCACATGAGATAACTTTCTTTGCAATTCTTTTCATGGGACTTACCTGAGCTGATCAATTTTCTCATCTGTAATTGGTCCCTTCCCTAGAACACGATCCATCTCCTTGTAGAGATTCTGCTGAACGTCTTCTGAGGTTGTCAGGAAATACACTGCCCAGGTGCACACTGGGGAAGAAAAGACAAGATTAGACCCAGAAAATTAAACCCTTTACAAATTACTATCAGTTTTCTTACTTCCTGTATTTGCAATATGACTTTTTGACCCAGAAAAGGGTAACCTCTGTTCATAGCAAGCTGTACTGATTCCATCTTCAGTGGCAGGAGTAGAGGCTGAACTACTGTGTAACAAGAGACCCTGCAAGCTGAAATACTCTTTCCAATGCTATGAGGAGCTTAGGGAGCTGTGCAGGAGACTGAGCCATTCATCCCCACAGCTCCAGCAAAGGGAACACACAGCTCAGCAAACCCTGTGGGAACCAGGGTTCTTAGACCAACCATGCAAATGAAAGGCTGGTTTGTCCAAAGTATCAGAAAACTCCCTTATTTAGGGGGCTTCCACAGCACATCTCAGGTGAGTGCTCCAGACAGCCAACATCTGGGGCTCCTGAACAGTACAGCTCTCTGCAGCAGGTTGGCCAGCATCTCTCTTACATCTATTCTGTGAGGTACTCAGGAGATATCTTCAATACCAGAGTTAAAAAGAAACCTTGCATAAGAAGTAACTGTGTAGTTTCCCTAAAGCTACAATGAAATGTTTCTACCACTCAAAACTGTCTCTTCTGAGACCTATATGGAATCCCTGAGGATCCAGACCTCTTAAAATGGCAATCTTCCTGGAGTAATTGGAGAGGATATTCTCTGGAGATAGCATTATCATAGTTGCCAAATTTACTTTCCACATTGTGAACACCCAGCTGCACCTGGGAGGTTTTCTTTGGAATCTCAGCCTCACTGGCCAAGATACAAGGCCTGATAATCATCCTCCTATCATAAGAGATTCTACACATCTTCAATTTGTGGGGTTTGTTTTTGGGTTGGTTTGTTTTTCTCCATAAATTTTGCACAAAACCTAAAGTAGCTCCTTTGAAAGTCTTCCATACAGGGAGCATACCTACCCCCAGAAATTCAAAGCAGTCAGTCTCCAGACTTCTGCTCTAATTTCCTTTCCATGTGCCAGAACCTATTTTACAACACAACCTTTCTAACTGACATCTTTTGATGCCTTTTCATCAAATTCAGCAACAGTTGCCTGGCATTATAACACAAGTAAAAGGCAATATGAAGAAATTCTAACGTTCACCAAAAGACTGGGGAGGTTGTCAAACACAGCTCAGTTTCAACTCACTAGCTGTGAAGCTACGTCAAGAATGTCTGGTATAATTATTCTATACATTTGTGGCTCAGGAGAAACAAAAAGATTAACATATTTTTTTATTAGCCTAGAATAAGTCTCATGCCATCACACACAGTTCTAGACAGCTGAGTCTGAGGATGGAAAGTTACCTACAATCTGTACTTACAGTTAGCAGTGATTATGGATCCTGCCAAGGAGAAAATCATTGTCTCTTCCAGAATCTATGAAATAAAATCTGCTTCAGAGATAAAATCTATTTCAGAAATGAAGTTACTGAGATAAAAAAAAAGAAGTGGCACGTTCTTCCTTCACGTGCATGAAATCCCTTTAGCGCAGAGAGCAGGAAATACATCTAGAAGATACAGACTGAACTCTACGCAGAACTTCCACTGGAATGGTACATGAGACATGCTTAATGCTAACACACTTCTGGTTTATAAAAATAGCAATGAAACATTGGCAAGGAAAGCTATCAAAATCTAATGCAATTAAACATTGTAGGAATGGAAAAAGAATTAGAAACCCTGTTTTACTAAGAAATCTGACCTAAGGTGCAAAAATTTCACTTAATCAAAGGCTACAATGTAATAAGCTTGTAATAGCAGAAGTTCATTACTGTGTAATGACATAATAGCTGCACAAACCTGCTGGTCACTCAGCTTCCCCTGCAGCAAGGTGTCTATAAAGACATGCCTGTTGAATGATTTGCCTCGTCGCTCCTTTGTTACTTTCCTTAAGGTGGATTCCATCTCCACCAGGGCTTTGAAAACAAAAATAAATGTTTATTTTAAAACCTGGCCATCCTGAGTACTGCAGAGGAGCAAGTCCATCTCCCCAGGCAGATTTTCAGACCAGCTGTCCCTTCTGGGCTCACTTACAGAAGAAGCCTCTGTCACATGTTACTGTCAATTCGGAAGGTGGTATCTCCAATGTAGTTGAAAATGCAGGAACCAAGTAAGACAGGTTGTCTATAAAAAAGCCACCCTTACAGGTATAGCCAAGACATGTACTCGATGAGCGGAAATCATGTAAGTCAAATAACAATTAAGAGAACCATCAGCGAATATGTTTAATCAATTCCCACAAGAAACATTTGAGTTAGATAACACTAGTTGTATGGTCTGTAGAGTTGTACTTAGTGAAGTGTTACAGCACCTCTCTAGTCACTGATGGTCTCCCTTTTGCTAGAGGTTTGACAAAAATGGTGCAAGAGGATGGCTTGGTGCTAAAGAGTCTGCAATGACAGAGAAAGGAACGTGGGGAAAACATGGAAGGTTTTTGGGTACAGAGTTCACACATCTGAAGATATCTGGATGCCTAATTCCTGGGGGCTGTTGTGGGAACTGGATGGGATTCACAGACCTAGGTGCCATAGGTTGTCTGACTTAAATTATCTACTCAAGACTGTCCAGGAAACATGGAGAAGTTGGACCTAAAACTCAATTTACCAAGGTCAAATTCAGCCCCTTCACCTTAGAACTACCTGTCCTCCCTCCTCTCTGCATAGCAAAGCAAGCAACTGAAAAAACACCTGTCCTTACTATATAAAGTTTGTGAAATTGTGTCCTCATGCTACTGCTCAGGAACAGTTCTGAATAAGTGCCCATGAGACAAACCCATTTTAACAGGGCAATAGCTGTCCTCAGGTACTGAAACACACAGAACCAGCAACATAAAGAAGGGAATACTGGGTTTGGAGGACTTACAAGCAAATCCTTAGTTCTATATACAAACTACTTTATTTAATATCTTATCAATCAATACTGAAACATTTTAACTATTAACAACAGACAGGACAACTGAAAAACTGAATAACTTTCTGTGAAATATATGAGAAATAAAAGCACTGCCAAAACTGACCTGAAAACCATGTTACCTTGTAATAGCACATCAGAGGCTGCTACACAGAAGGTATCAAAGCAGCACTTCTCTACTAGTGCCTTCAAGCCTGCAAGTGACTGGCAGCACATAATGGTGCATCACAAGAATGACCATACAGGCCAAACTAAGTGGCTCTCTCTGTCTCCACCTCCTGCCTGCCTCCAAGAGAGGTCAAAAGTGGACACTAAGGAACTGAACAAAAAGGGAGCAAGCACATGCATGTACTTCCCAGGATCCTGTATCAGCCTCTAGATTGGACAGACCCTAGAACTAGACCTGGAACTAGATCTCTAATCCTACAAACTTTTTGCACAATGAAAGCCTGGTCACTCAAAAAACAATTATCTGATTTGAGAGTAAAGAGAACACATTTGGTATCTTACGCCATGATGATCTGCAGAAAAGTCAAAACAGCTGGACAAATTAAGTCCTTCAATATGCTAGCTAACTAAGTATTGATGAGACTGGGAGGAAGGCTGTGATTTTGGGATGAACCTACCATCTTCATAGAGCTTCTTCCTAGTCATGTTTTTGTCAAGTGATCCATCCAAGAAACCTTTCCCAATCTCCGACCAGATCTGAAAGAAGGACAGAGGGAAGAACACCATCACTCACCACAGACCGAGACTGCTGGGACTCTTCTATTCTTCCCTGTTCAGGAATATGAAATCACCAAGTAAAATGAAGACTTCCTGTGAATAGGGAAGTGGTCTCCTCTTTAGGAGGCCATGCCCCATTCCAGATATTACATCTATTGTAACTGAAATTAAGCTGAAATAAAACAACTGAATTACAACTGCAAGGGAAAAGGCATGGGAATCTTGAATAACATGGAACTATTTCTTTACCACTCTATCTCCAGCAGATTTAATGTCCCCAGATGCAGACACTGCCAGGGACCACCTCATATTTTCCTTTCTCCACAATGTCACAGAGTTTTTAAAAGGTTTTTGGAGAAGAGAAGTTCTACTGGCATTTCCAGTATAGTGTAACTGACATAGTTACCAAAGGTAACTCTCAACTGCCATTGAATCTGGGCTCCTAATCCCCACAGATCCTTTAGAAACACGAGCGTAATGGACAGCAGGATCAGCAGTAAGATCTTTCTGAAAAATTCAGCTTGGGACAACTGAGGCAGAGCCCTCAAGCTCTTAAGCTTAATTTTTAAGTCTCAGCAGTAGCTTGTACTGAACTGTACCCAGACACAAGCTTTGTGCTGTTGGCCTGCAAAAATCCAATAGATTTCCTGATTGTTTGTGACACTTACTTCATCATGGTACCTGCGGAATCGGATGACTTCCCGGTCATCTTCAAAGCTGCTGCCCATAGCTGTCTGTGTGACAGACTTCATGGCAAAGCCCAGCATGTGCTGGCAGAGCGGCACGTGTTGTGCCTCCGGGAGGGAGAGCCATTTGGCTAGCAACTCCTCTGACAGCTGAAAGGGAAGGAATCATAAGTTGGCAGTAATATCAGCAGCCTATTTACCAAACACGCTTTGGAGATGCTCCCACCCAGTTCCTAAGGCAGACCACACTTCCAGGCTACGGTACGAAGCTACACTATTTCCAGCATTTCCTTCCACTGTTAACCTAAACAGTACTGTTTTAGCCTCAAATCTGCCTCTTTGCAAGGTTTTCATGCAACAAGGCAGCCCTGTCCTCCTCTCTTGTTCCCTTTGTTACAAAAGAGACCTTAAAACCTTTAATACTAGTAGCTCCAGGCTGGGAACACATCATAGTCTGGCTGCTGGACTGAGTCAACAGAACAGCTCTCACCAGTTTGTGGTCCCAATAGCTGGTTCCTTACTCCTTCCTGGGAAACAAATATAGAATCCAGAGGCTCCGGTATATTTAACTGCATCTGGTATCCTGGCATAAAAACTCACCAAGCTCAGCCCTTCCCCCTAATCTAGTGGAGCAAAGAGAAACCAAATATTCATACTGTGCTTGAATGGGCTGCGGCTGTTCACTGTCTCAGATGCTTATAGTTCCAGCACTAATTTCAATGCAGCTCCTTTATCCTAGTGATCATTCTCACTAAACTTTCCCCTGTGAGCTACACAGGGCTTCTCTGCTGTACAAAGGCAGTTACACACCTTCTGGATGAGAGCAAAGTTACTTTTCAAGGACATGGTCACACCATTTTCATATAGCTTTCTCCTCATGTGGCTCTCTCCTGTATCCCCATTCAGGCTGGACTGGTACCTCAAGAGGGACTTCAGCATTGTCTCAAAGGGATCCACTAAAAGCAAATAAAGGAAACACCATTTGAAACTCAGGCAGTCACACCACACATGGATGATGAAAACAGCAGCCTCCTCAACTGGGCGCTGCTACTTCTGTAAGCAAATAAGCAAGGCATGGCTCCTTCCTCCAAGAAGAGCCTCTTAGGTGTATAAAGTTTCTTTTGCTCAATGTGTGCTGAGAACTCATAAGGTCTTCGTGGCAAGGTATCATCCTGCAACCAGCTCCCAGTGCAGAGGTTGTCTGCTGGCTCTACTGAGTAATTCTTCAGTAATAATGCCTTGGAAGCTTGTTCTCAGCTTGCCAGTTCCCAGCTGGTTGTGCCACTGACTTGGAGACAACAGTGAGGGTGGTAGGCTCCTTCCCTTTCTCCTCCAAGACCTATCAGTTCGCATGACTTAGCCAGAGGTTGCTCTGTGCACTCCTTACCTTGCTTCCCAGCCCCAGCAAACCTCATTTGACACCCTACTGCTCCTGCATGATTTCTCTTGCATTCACTGAGTTCCCTGCTGATGAGCTCTTCCCAAACTAACACTTACCCTTCTCAGTCAGGGCTGCTTCCAACAGGGAAGACCCACTAAGCTACAGAATACTTTCTACTTCTAATCACCTCACTTTCTATCTTCCTTCCACACAGACACTTGCAACAGTGTACAAACTAGACAAAAACATATCCTTCATCTTCCATATCCACAGCTCACTTCAGTTAGATTTTTTACTCTGAATTTTACCATCAGGGGCCTCTACTTAATAAATCTGCTAAAGTACATTAGGTATAAATGCAAAACTATACAATAAAAAAAACAGCATATTCTTTTCTGTTTCTGTACATTTTTCTGTGGGTCTTGCACAACTGGCAGAATCTGTAAGTAACTAATTGGAAGGAGTAGTTGGGATTTTCACAGGAGTTTCTTTACTGTTTGATAAACACTGGTATTTCTCCCAGATGGAAAGTGAAACCTCTGAAACATCAGAAAACCTGAAGGCTGAGCTTGACATGTAGGACTCTACCAACTGTGGATGCATCCAGAATTCCCAGTAGAGATCAGCACCTCATTATGCTGCTGGACAAACATACAAGAACACAGAATTTCCACCTGCAAAGGACTTACTACCTAATGGCACAAAGGCAGCTAATGAGGCCAGGAGCACAAACACGACAAACTTTCCTAAGTGATCTTCGCTCACGTTGTTTCCCTTCCAACGTTTTTATGCTCTGCATCTCACTCTCTTTCAACTTTGAATGACAAGGAGTATGTGCATGTGTCTTTTGGCACAGCAGATGGTACTTGCAGCTCTCCACATGGATCAGGCTGTTATGTGACTACAGCTGCTGCTGACAATTCCTCCTCCAAACTATTCTGCCATACAGTGCCTGCTGCTATTCGTGCCATAATCCCCTGCTGAACAGCCCTGGCAGAGCCTGGGGTAGCCAGAAAGACACATGGCTGGTGGCAAAGCCCACACAGCAAATCTGGCAAGCAGAGGTATTTGGAGAGGCCAAAGGATGCTTAGCACCATCACCTGCAGAATGTGCAAAGTTCTCCTGGTGCAGTATTTCACCTCCTCGACCCAGCAATTTGCTTTCCCAACACAATCCAGCCTTGCTCCCTCTTTCGTTTCCCAAATCCCATTACCTCCAGCTTCAGTGATGACCCAAATGGTGTCCAAGCAAATTCTGAACTGGAACCCTGACAGAAACAGTTCCACCACTTCCCCTGTCTAGAAGTCACTGGACAGCAGCAACTCTCTCTGGTCACTGATATGAAAGTCCAATACATAGGACCAAAGACTTACCTGAACCACCACGTCAACTACAAACTAAGTCTCACTTCCTTTCTGCTTAGAATGAAGCCTCAGCTTCCTTTGACATACGATGCCCGGCCAGGCCAGAAGAAACAAATGGACTCAAAGCAAAGAACACTTACACAATCGGTTGGGGTTAACATGTTGTTTCAGGAGATCAATGGAGCCGAGGCTGACAACAAGACGCCTTCCAAACCAGAAAGAAACCAGTGGGCCATATTTCTCATGAAGAGTCACCAGAAACTCATGCAAACTGTTGCTGGCAATGATATCTGGCAGGTTGCCATCTCTAAGGAACACACAGAGGATACCTGGTCATCAACAGCATACTCTACCAATGCTGAACTTATCAACGTGAAGATGGAAAGCACTTACTTTTCATCAGTTGGAGCCAGCCCAGGGATACCTGATGCTTGCCTAGATGCCTAGAGAGTAAAAGAAAATGCATCAACCTCCTTCAACTTAAAATGTTACACAAACCAAACAGCTTTGCAGCAAGGGAGATAGATTTTCGACATCAATACCTCTTAAAAACATTAAACAAGAGCTGGATAAGCCACATCTTCAGGCCTCAAACCTGCTAAGGCTCACGAAGCCACAAAACCGTGTGTGCTGGGTCTCTCTGGCTAAACCAACATTATTCACCTGGTTAGGTGAAAGATCTCTGCACAAAGACATAAAGGGTCAGCTTTGCAATGTAGATCTTGCACCTAGACCTTGCCCTGCAGATCTGAACACGCACAAAGCTTCACAGCCATATTATAAAGCTGTTCTAGGAGGGACCACGCGGAACACGAGCTGTGCCGAACTGTGCGGGCCGAGCTGCCCCGGTGGCTGCGGAGGGAGGGACAGGGGGGAACGCCCTGCACGACGAGCGGTCCCACGGGCCTTCGCCAGCGCCCCGGCAGGACTCGGGCCCCGGGGAGCGCCAGGGCGGGCCCCGAGCCCCGCCAGATCTTGTAATTAAACAGTTCCCTGAGAAACTTCAGAGCAACCGTTGTTCATCTCGTGGATTCTTTTCTTGTTGCCCATCAAAAACCTTTTGAAATGTTTCTTGGTAGTTACCTCTCAGTACTGCTGGTAGATGGGAAGGTATCCAGGGGTCTCCCCTTCCTGTTTGCTGTTGGTGCTGGGAAATGCTTTGCCTCAAGGAATCTTGTTACAAGAGTTTTTGGACAACAGTTTCAGACAACAGAGTTTCACAAGCCAATTGTGCAAGGACAAAACAAACAACTTTGGTTTGAACTTCTGTGTTTTCACCCTCTCAGAATTCCTTGCTCTGTTACTATGAAGGAGGGTGAGTGAAGCCTGTGAAACACATCATCTTTGATGAACTAGAGCAGCTGTTAGAGAACCTTTTTCAAACAAGCACTGCATAAATGCAGCCCTTCCACTCTTATTTGTCTCCTCTTCACAGCAAGTGCTCCCAACCATTGAGGAACTACCTCTTGTGAGTAATTCTGGCAAGTTGAGTATTTGTCACTTGTGATACCTTGGGTGATGGGGCGGCAGCGGCGGAAAGAGGGTCGGGAGCCCTGCTGCACGCTGTGAAGGCACGGTCGGCAGTGGGAGTAGGAGCAGCAGGGAGCTGTTTGCTAACTTCTACCAGAAGCAGATGCTCTAGCGGCCTCCAGAAGAAATCTTGTTGCAAAACTTCCAACCACTTCAGGGAGGAAGTTTTTATTCCTGAATACTAAGTGGCATCTTTTATCCTCGTCAATCACATGGGGGAACGTTTCTTCCTATACATCTTAAACCCCTGCTCAAGCCATGCACCTACTGGTGTTAAGCAAAGGCCATTCCTATAATGTGCGTCAACCAGCCAGATATTTCCATGACAAACAGCACCCAGACTTTGCTTTGAGCAAAGATCTTTCCAGAGCAACCTACAGCAATACCTGCACCTGTTTTCTATCACTGTTCAAGATAACTTTGGACCTGTTACCATAGTAATAATCAGTACTCACTTCCCGGGGAAGAACACTTTTTTCCTTGTCTTTGCAGAAAAATTGCTGCTATCCAATGTCCAGTTCTTCTGCCTCTCCTGGTGCTTCCTGGACTCAGTGAACTTCAGCAAGGCAGATCTGTCAAAGCCGGACATTTTAACCATTACAAAAAATACTCAGATCAGATATTTGTACTAGTAGTGTTAGACTAATGATAGCAACATCCTGCTCTGACTCACAACCAAGCTAAAGATGCACAGCTTTTGTCCCCTCTCTGGTTGTCCAGTGAGGCATTTGTCTCAGAGGGAAGGGCGGGGGGGCAGGAAATTAACATATCACATTCTTCCTCCAAGCTGAAGTAGCAAAGGTAAATACCTTTTCATTTAAGGTTATGAGGTGGACAGCATTCATGAATCTTGTGATCCAGTGGAAGCTGTAAGGAAATCTGAAGCAATATTTATTGGTAAGTTTTGCTTTTTGCTCCCTGATGAGGGTCTATATAGAGCATTGGATTAGTCCTGCTGAGAGCTGGCACTGTAGAGAAAACAATTAAATAGTTGGGCCTAGCAATTATTAGAAACTACAGAAAACAGTACTTTAATTGGGAACAGTAAGGCCCTAAATTTAGTGGTGGGGAGGGAAGTAGTAGAGATTTATTGATGGAACTTCATGTCCAAATTATTAATCTGAACAGTACTTCAGTGTTAAAAACATGATAATCACAGCTGTGATTACACTTTATCATGTGTAAGATTCAGGGCTATTGTGCTCCAACTAGGTATAGGGCTAATACCATGCTTCTGGGTATCAGAAGTGTCTGCTGTCAAACAGCCAGTATCAGTGTTACAAGAAGGACTTGGGGCAAGAGCCCATGGCCTGCCCAGTGACCATTCTTTCAAAGCTTTACTGCTGCTCAAAGCATGATATTACTCTGAATACAACACAGAAATCATTCAGCCTGCCAAGTTTGTAAAGGCTTCAATTAAAACTGGTGGTGAATGCGTGGTAAATAAGCTGGACTCTCATTCTGCAGGAGGTGGGAACACATTCCGTCTCCTGAAAGCTCTCTACGACAACTGTCTGATACAGGAGATCAGGAAAAGAGTTCTTGAGGTAAAAACTACAGGACTCCAGCCAAGTCTGAATGGCAGGATCTCAAGCATAAACTTTTGTTTGGACAAACCCAAGTTGATTCTACTATTTGTTTTTAATATACTTCAAATATTGAGCCATCTCATGCAACCTGGGGAACTGAAATCTGTGACCAATCTGTGTCGTTAGTAATCTAAGCCTGAAAAGTCTAGGGTAAACAATCTGTCTTTCCAGGGCAATTTCCCAGATGTAGGACTGCAAGACCTTGATGTGTACAATGTCACTTAGTACCTTAGAAGTAAGCCCCTCAACTTAAAATATCAATGAAGAGCAGTGCAGGATTTAATCTACATCCAGAAGCCCTATTTTGCAGCTTGAGATGTCTACCTCGTCTTGTTAATAGATACAGATGTGTTCCAAATCACAGGTTGTCTGCTAATAAAACAAAAAGAGTTGGATCCATACATACCTTTTAGACAGTGTCCTGTTGATGCTGAAAATGGTGTAATCACCTTGGATACCTCTTTGACCTGGAATTGAGATGTATGAGTGCAATGGAGCCCTCCCAGTCAGCAGCCCCATTCTGGCTGGTGAATCTTGTAACGCACAAAGATATGCCATCCAAGGAAAACAACAGAAGAAGCAAGGTGTTTGCCTAGCAATGTGGAACAGCAAATGCCTTCAGGCAGATTTATGCAAGCACAGTATGTTTGAAAAGGCCAGCTGCCGACAAGAGGGGTTAGCTAGGCTGTCTTAAAGTACAGAAAATCAATGCCTGGCCAGAAAAGCCAGAAAACATTCAAGTTCCAGTGAAGTTTACACAGGTATTTGGTCATATTAGCACCAGTACTCTCAAGACAGCTTATTTTTACAAATTGTTCAGCATTATCCATATTCTCGCATGTTTGCATGGAATCCTTCCACATACTGTGTCGTATATAGCACTAATACTTAAAACTAGTGCTGAAGTGGCTGGTCATGGAACTGGTTAGCTGATAGCGCAGCAACATTATACTCAGCTTCAGATGGTCTGATCTCCTGAGAAGCTAGTTCAGATTATTTCCTGTAACTGAAACCTAGACAAGTCTCTCTTAATAGTGAAGTCCAACATACACACTGACAACCTTGTAAGTTCTCCCATGTGATGGGGTCACAGATCTGTGAGTACAAGACATTCAACAGCTCATTCTCCAACAGAAATGTCAAAAACAGAAATCTTGTTCTGATTTTCACCTGAAAAGTTAGCAGTGAGATGAGCTAGAAAGACTAAGTCTGATCTGACTGCTGAGTCTCTGAGATTGATAGATGCTATAAAACACAGTTCCTGTTTGTGATACTGCATACTAATAACTGCTTTTGTCTTTCAGGATGGGATTCCTTACATGGGGTCCAGTGCAGGAACTAATGTTGCTACCATCAGCATCAATACTACCAATGACATGCCAATTGTTTATCCACCTTCACTGCAAGCCTTAGGTTTAGTTCCTTTTAATATTAACCCCCACTACCTGGACCCAGATGTTAAAAGCACTCACATGGGTGTAAGTAAAGCATGCCAGAGCTAACACTGTAATGGGGGTGCAGAGGTGTAACAACAGTGTGCATTTGTGAGGCCTTACAAAGCTATAGAATGTCTAACAGCTGCTTCCTAGAGCAGCTGGAAATGCCAGTGAGGCAGTAACATTTTACTCCTTCCCAAAGCTTTTCTTTGAGTGGGAAGAGTAGCTGGCAACATATTACTGAAGTGGAATGAAGTGTTTTTCACAAACAGAAGCTCTGCAGTGTCTGAAATATTGTTGCTTCATACCTGGCATGGAACTGGAAGGAAGGCAGGGAAGAACAAGATAAACTTGAAACACGAAGATGCAATGCACTGTGTTTCTGGAAAGTCCTGCCGTAGTCTGTCTTGCATGCTGCTTGAGAAGATCTGATTTAAACATACTTCAAAAGGCTTAAATATCTGAAAGAACCATCACAACAGGGAGATCTTGAGATTGCATGCAAACCTGTAGTGTAAGAAAATAGCTAGGCACCAGTGTCCATGCAGGGAGCACACCCTATAATGTCCACTACTGCTAAGCAAGAACATGTACTTGTATAGCTGAAAGAAAAACACCTCACCATCAAGAACAAGATCTCCACTGTTTGGAGGAGCTCGTTCTTGAATAATCTGTCAGGAGATAATTCCTCAGGGAAGAGTTTCTGTGGTGTATCATTTAAGAGCCCAAATACTTTCATCTTTGTAATTGAAACTTCTTCCTGGTTAAAGGAAGTATTCAGAATTAGAGGATACTGAAGAAATGGAGGGTCAGGGTGTGCTTCTAAAATTTAGATGAAGTCATTAGATAGAAGACAGTCTTTTCCCTGTAAATAACTTTTGCTGTTTCTCCAAGCCTGGAAGCTCTGTGCTACACCAAGTCCTTGCTGTGTTACTATGCTTCTGTACCAACAAATCCTTCTGGTTTGATTTCTTTTAACTACTGTTGCTCAGTCCCTCCAGAAGCATGGCAGAGCTGTTCACAGAAGGAAATTCTTCAGTGTAATTCCTACTTGAGGACAAACAAGCAGATACTTAATCAGTAGAAATTCATGGTTCATTACTCTTTCATGAAGGTGGCATCTCAGGCATTTGCTTCCAACACCTTCTTCAGTGGTCTTGTTCTGAGGGTGAGCACATAGAGCATATAGAAAAAAGTTTGATAAGTTGAGTGGAAGTTAATTGAGTGGAAGTTTTAAGGCTTTTCAGGATTGGGATTGTGCAAGTTCCGCTTGATCAACCTACAGAAATTTCTGCTAGCGATGAAGAGTAAAATACGTATCTATTTAAGTCAATCCTACCACTTCCTTCAATACATTAGTCTAATGAAAGCATTCTGCTTGAGGGGAACTGCCTGCTTTGTTTAATGTTATGAAATTGCTCAGTGTTATGCTACTTGGATAGCTCCAAGTCCTGCCTTACTATCTAGGCAACTAAATCTTCACTCCTTATTGCAGGAGACAAGAGAGGAAAGAATTAATCAATACCACGAAGAACCAAACACTCCTCCAGTTCTGGTGAGTAGCAGTTCCCCCTCAGGAAGGCTCCTGGTTGTAGAATGGTAAACATTTTAAATGCATTTTTGCTAGCTTTCAGTGTAGATTTCCCTACCTGACAAGCCTTACAGAACTGTGGCACAGAAGGCTAGTTATATTCTCACCAAAAGCTTCTACCTTGGTTTTTTCTCACTTGCAGAACATGGGTTAGAACAAATTAAATGCATTCTGCTTATCAGATGCTCGAAGTTCTGTTGCCAAAAACTGTATTTTAGGCAGCTCTGACCCTTCCAGTCACTGGCCACTAGTCATATGCTGTATGTTGGGGTGATGTCCATGCAGATGGCAAGATACCTCCCTTAATTGTTTTTACAGATATTCCTAACCTCCTAAAATTTTAATCTCTGTAGTTTCTGAATCAGCTTATTCAGTAGCATGTTTGTAATTACAGTATGTCTGGCTGGGGAAGTAGGACCTCTGGGTTTTCCTTCCCTGTGCTTGAGCTTGCAGTATAAAGTTTGTGCTCTAATAAACCAAGATGGCTCTTGCTTCATCCAAACTTGATCCAAGAATGGTGGTAGCAGAATTAATTGTGGAAAAAACACCATTTTCCTTTTCTCTTTTAACAGTTTCTCCTTCTTTAAAGGGAAAAATAAAATAAACAAGAGAACCAGGTTCTAAAACAAGATAACTCACCTAATTTTGTCTTGGCATCTTTGTTAGAAATAGGTGAGGAAGGTAATCTTGCTTGTAGTCAGGGTGAGCTGCTCTAAGACTGGCCTGCTTGGGACAAGCATTCTAGCCTTTAAAATAGCTTGAAAATAATGCTTGTTTCCACCTACATTAGGGCTTGCGGGAAGGTACGATGCTGCTAGTGGAAGGAGACAAAGCCACCTTGCAAGGAGTGACAGGAGCACGTCTGTTTTTGAGGTAAATGCTTCATTTGAATTTAAATTTACATCCTCCCTCAGAGACAAAGAGAGACTTCTATTAGACTCCTGGCACACGCTGCCTGTTCCCCAACCTCAGAAGTTACTCAATTCCTTACTTCCATTTCTCTTTACGTAAAACACGAGCGTTGCCTTACACTGCAAAGGAGCAGGCAGTATGACAGCACTCAGAGGATGCCTAACTTACCCAGTAAGTGCCATGGCATTACATCCATTTGATGCTTGTGTTTTCAAACTATAGTTACAGTTCACAGTCTGGCCCTAATGCACTGAACTCTAGAAACTCATGTCTTTAGTCATATGAACATTACTAAGAAATCTAATACATGTGTTCCATGATGCAGGCAAGAAAGGGAGTCAAAACTCTTCTTGTTACAAGTACAGTTTCCTTGTTCTATCCCTGGTAACAGATGGAAGCACAGTAGTCCTAGTTCCTGTTGAAGCTCACAGCATGGTTTGTCTTCTTTACAGGGGTAAGAAACCAACTGAACACGAGCCTGGAACAGATTTCAGTTTCCTCCTGATGGAGAGTAACCTCCAGAATCTGTAGCCTTGCATACAGCGCACTCTTTTTCTCCATCTAAATTCATGTCTTGAAAATATCTCCTTCCCAGCAAAATGACAACTTCTACTGCAGTACTTGAGTAATCATAGCTATTCTTCATCTGAAAGGGCCTTTGTATTCTTGTATCCACTTTGATTCCTTACCCACCAAAAAAAAAAATAATGTTCCTTTAACACAAATAAGATCAGATACCAAGTCAGCAGTTCCTGCTGCCTGGCTTTACCTGCTAAATTGAAGAATTGTTAGTTTAGTGTACTCTCACACTATTAGTTTCATTTTTGTGCTATGAATAAAGGAAGAACTTATGCATTCAATTACTTTTATTTGCTTTAGTCTCATGTTAAATATATACAATGCTAATTATGTACAAAAGTGTGCATGTTAAAAATTGTCAGGTTACAAACTTGCAAATCCTAGAAAAGTGCAAAATTTTAAAACATCTTCAACCATGCTGTACAGAAAAAAATCCATCATTAGCCAATATACACAGTCTTAAAACATACTGATCAAAATAAGACATACAGTATACTCTTAAAGCACCCAGAAGGGAAAGATATTGCACAGAAGAATGAGAGCAAGTTCATTACAGTGCCTGAAGGCTCATTTTTGAAAGTAGATATTCCAACACTCCTCAGACCTAACATTAATTCTTCAAAAAGGCATTTTTTGGCATTTAAAAATCCATTTGTAATCAGATAATTGCACAATCTTTAAGAATTATGGGAAAATACAGTTAACTGTTGCTGTAAGGCCTTTGTTTCCACTCCCTCATTAGCTTTAATAAAAATACATCAAGCCAACTGAGCTCACAAGAACAAATTCACTGCTTCCATCAAAACACTGATCAAAAGGAGGTAAGTCTTAAAAGCAGCATTTATCTAGTTTTATAATAAGCTGCTCCTGCATAGTGAACAGTTGAATCAGAACACACATTGCAAGTTTTGCCTTTATTTTTTCCACCCCCCTCCCTGCTTTAAGCAACAGCTCAGAGCTATGTATGACTAAAGCAGTACTGTCAGGTGCAAGACTAAGTTTATTTTTAAAAGTTACTTCAAGGCAAAAAATATGGCTCCCTCAAGAGGAAAATACTGAGTAGACAGGAAGCTAAATAAACAAGTGGCCTCTAAGTTCAGTTCAATCTCAAAACACCTCAGCAGTTTTAAACCATAACCTATGCTGAAAATCATGCTCCTGGGACAGAAGTTGTGTTAAAAAACTGTGTTTGTGCGGAGTGTACTCACAGAACTAAACTCTGGAAATACTTGCCAATTTCCCAAGTCCAGTAAATGAAAAACAAAAGAAAACACAACTGGAGGAATTATCTCCTGAGGAAAAACAGTGAAACACCTGTTTTATCTGGACCATTTGGGTAAATGGTAACTAAAAGAAAGACACATCAGTTTTCTTCCACAGATGCACAGAAAAAAGGTGAATTAAAACTAAACAAAAGGTACCTTTTCCTCACATATGACGTATTCCAGACTGCAGTCAGATGAATAGCACTCAACTCAAACTGTGCAAAACTTGCTACGCTGCCACTCAGGCATTTCTGCATTCAGGCACCTGATGACTATAGTAGAGAAGAAGGAGACATTTAACTTATTTTTTACAACAACTTTTCAGAAAACCCTTTCTTCCTTTAAATTGTGTGCTAAGAAGTGTGGTTAGTAATAAGAAGGAGAATTTGGCTCCTTGGGATGGAAGGAAAGGTATCTCCCAAATATTTCAGTTCAGCCTAACACTGATGTATACAATGAACCCACATGTACATGACTGCACAAGAACTACTACTCTCCCCAGAAGGAGACTACTAACAAGTGTCATGTTTACAGTTGAAACCAACTGCTTTTAAACAAAAAGCATTCAAAGCCTGTTGTAGAAAGCACTGAAACACATGCTTGAATTTCCAGTCAAGTAAATATAACCTATGTAGTGCTTTCATCTAATAGTATTTATTAAATCAGGCCTTAAGTTCACATTAGGGTATGTATTTATATGTGCTTTTTAATTATTCTTTGAAAGGAAAAAAATATATCTATATTCACAGCACTTAGCCTGTGGATCTAGCCTAGCCAACAAGGTGCCTTTAACAGTGGAAGAAAGGAGTGCCAAAGGTGACAACACAGAGCAAGTATTTGCAAAGCTCTCAGTATAGGAGTGGAAGAAGGCTGACACCTCCTCTACTATCCTCCCTAGCTCTAAAGTTCCCTACCATATCATAATCCATACACAGACACACATTGTTAAGTAAATACACATAGAGTAAAAGCTTTGTGAAGCATTTTGTTGCTGTATGTATATTTTCTAATTATTTTGTTAACTGAGACTGAGAAAGATTTGCAGAGGAAACAGGGAGGAGGGAGACACGGTCGAGGGAAGCAAGGTATACAGCTCCCATTGACTAAGGCAAGACTTAAAAGACCTACCTATTCATTTGTGCATTACTGATACAGCTAAATGTATCATTTCTGCAGGGCTATTTTAAGCAGACTAATGTAGGACTGTTACCAGTCCCATACAGAATTTTTACAGTGCAGAAACTGAGTTCTTTGCTCTTCATGTAAAGGACACAGAAATACAACTTTCAAGAAGATCCCAACTAACTAGAACATTTAAAACCTGTAAAGACTTGGATAAACCTGTTTTGTGATAATATTAATAATCCAAGGTATACCGGGGGAAAAAGCAGCTTGTTTACATCAATGTTGCAGATTAGCAAACCAGTTGTAATGTGGGTGGGCATTATTGTTTGATTGTTGTGGTTTGTTCCTTGTTGTTGTTTTTTTTTTAAATCAAACAGGCTTCCTAAAACCTGATTTTCACAATGTGTATTATCCATTAGGAGAAGTGCAGTTAAAAACTGGTATTACTATTTTTGCTGCTGCTGGTAAGGTACATAGATGTAAGGAGACTTGGTTTCTAGACATCCTATAAGCAAGGTAACAAGTATATTGATATAGAATAATTTGCGTAACTCAGATGCCAAGTTGAACAGCAAACATTTAACTTTCTGAAAGCTCATATAGTACAAAAACTGCATAGACTAGACAAGATCCTTCACTACAGATAAAAATACAATTAAAAACACTATCAAGAATTATAGTGAATTGATAAAGAGAAATTTCACAAACATTTTACTTGAAATAAAGGACAAATGTCTTCTAAATATCATCCTTTGGTATGCAAGTTCAAAACTGTCCTAGGGAGAAGTTACTCAGTACTGCTAACTACTTGATCTCATTTATATACAAGTATGAAAAGAGAATCAGTTTTCAGTTTCTTTTAGATATATATATATATATTTACAGTCCTACTTATTTAATCCGCTTAAAAGGTAAGCATATCATGAACTTAGATAAATAACATTAGGGTTGTTCCAAAAATTAAATGTGAGAAGATACTACAAAGAAGACCTTGACAAATGTAGTATTATCTCATAGCTTTGCTTTTCACACTTAAATAAATCTTAGTTCAAAAACAAAGAAGAATCTTTATTTCACCAGTACTACATGAAAAACAAAATGTGATCCTAAGCTTTACTGATTTGAGGAAATCAAAGAATTATGAAAGTCAGGTCACTAAGTCACAGTGCACTGCATAACAGACTGCAGTTCAACCAACCTAAACAGCTGATCAGAAAAATTATTTTCTACTTTTTAAAAGACTTATACAAATAAGTTAAAACCAAAAGAAACAAAGTACCAGCTAATGCTCACACCACCTATATATTTTATTTAAAAATTAGATAAAGACAAAGTGCAGACCTTCAAACCTCTTTCCAGAGGGCCTTTGTCAAGAACACTTAGTGTGTGATGGTGTATGTTACCATTCTGCATAGAGCATGAAGTAGCTCAGAGCTCACCTGTCCCTCTCCTGGTTGTTCTGCTGCTGCTGCTTTGTGCAGAGCACAAACTAGCCTCAAGTTTGAGAGCCCAAGAACTGCCCACATTCGAACCTTTTCCAGATATTTGTGAAGATCACCTAATGCTTAGGATGCACTGAAATGATGTTACTCAAATATTGAAGTTCTTCACCATAAACTCTTTCATCCTCAATTATTGCAACTACATTATATTTTACTTAAACCACACAGTGTATTCAGTATTAATACTGAAGTACTAAATCCGTTAATTGAACTGTTATATAAACATAACTTAACCACAGTAGGACAAAGCCAGGCTTTTCTCAGTGATGTCCAGTGATAGGACAAGGGACAATGGATGCAAACTGGAACATATGAGGTTCCATGTAAACATCAGAAAAAACATCTTTACTGTGAGAGTGACAGAGCACTGGAACAGGCTTCCCAGAGAGGTTGTGGAGTCTCCTTCACTGGAGACATTCAAAACCCACCTGGACGTGTTCCTGTGTGATGTCCTCTAGGTGATCCTGCTCTAGCAGGAGGGTTGGACTAGGTGACCTTTTGAGGTCCCTTCCAACCCCCAAAGATTCTGTGTGATTTTCAAACCCTTACACGAACCTCTCTCTTTGCTCTCACCAAACACTAGGAAAACACCTATCTTCTCATTTTTTTCACTTGATTCTTGTAGCTCAAAACAATTTCCTGCCCTCTTCCTCTACAAGTAAACACTTGACCTCACATATGCATTTTACCAAAACTTACATGCATACTTATAAAAATCAACTTAGTGCCCCAAGTTAGTTTTTTTTCAGCTTCCCATAATACAGAAAAATCTCTCATTCTGAGCTGAAATTCTCCAAAACTTCTCTCAAAAGAGCTCCCTTGAAATCCTCTCTTCATGAAATCCTAATGGACAAACATACTTCACACATTCTCATGTACACACTTAATACTTTCATAGCACCCTTAGTATTCTTACTGGACAGGTAATAGATTAAAATAGTGTTTTTCACTTCCTTATAGCTTGTTTGAAAATATAGGATGTGGTTTTTTTAGACACACAGAGCCTGAAAAAAACCCACATCACTTTTGGAAATGTAATGCTCTCCTGGCAAGTGACTCCGGGAAATAA